TTCATCTAGTATAACTAAATACCTCACTTTCATTGTACAGTATATGTTCAATTACGATTAGTATTATTTTTTTCCCCAATAATTCATAGTTCCCTTACATTCTTGATTATCTATTTGATAACAATATACCTTTATATAATCCCCATGTGAAAGAAAATATTTTTTTAACCAACCATTTATATTTATATATCACTATTTTCCATTATACGTAATTCCACCAATCAGCTATCAGGTATGCTTATGTTCATTGTTATCCTTGTACCTCAGACCTTCAAACAGAAATCTTATTCCTTCATTTTTCAACAAAATATTCTAAATAGTCGCTGCATATATATACCGATTTTTAATTCTTCCTTTATTAAAATAATTTATCAACAACAAGATATCATTGTAATATGTTCTTAAGGTTATACATTATATCACCAATGGGATGGGATGTGACTTCTGTGTCACACTCTGACATCTGACCTGTTGCTCACTTAGTAGGAAGTAATATGGAGAGAAATGAAGGGAAGATACAAGGTTGCAGCGAAAAGAAAATTGTAAAAAAGAGAGAAGGGATTTTATGATGTGTAATTGAAAATGCTAGAATCTTTCTTAGAAAATAAAAACAATTCATGATGTCTGCTCAGTAATTCGTTTAGAAGGATACTTATCTGAACAGGTAATAGCAAAGGTAAGTTAGAAGGACAAAGGCACTTGAAGTGGGGCTACAACGGTGACGGAACAACTTTTTCAGTTGTCATTTGATAAATGTTGATTTTGTTATCAATAACACTTATGACTGCTGACTTCTCAACATGTAAACCTCCTATGAGCAAGGAAGAACAATCTCAAATTGCTTTTTATAAAAGCTTTTTATAATTTGGAGGGCTGTTTAGATATGTGGACTGTGTATGCTAGGTAAAGGTAAAGGTAAACGTTCCCTCACATATATGTGCTAGTTGTTCCCAACTCTAGGGGGCGGTGTTCATCTTGGTTTCAAAATCGGCATGACTAAACACCAAAGGTACCAGAAACGCTGTTACCTTCCCACCAAAGGTGGTTTCTATTTTTCTACTTGCATTTTTACGTGCTTTCGAACTGCTAGGTTGGCAGAAGCTGGGACAAGTAACAGGAGGTCATTCTGTTACAAGGTGCTAGGGAGTCGAACCGCTGAACTGCCAATCTTTCTGATCGACAAGTTCAGTGTCTTAGCCACCACTCTCTACATAGCGTTTCCTAGTTTATATGATTAATTCCCCCCTTTTTCAAATTGTGAATTAATTTAAATGTTAGTAGTTCGTGACCAGAATGCACATTGAAAGAATAATTTTTCTTAGTAAGATAAAAATGTATTTTTTTTGTGGGGGTTTCCTACCTCTCTTTTTCTCATGTAAAAATAAAAAGTGTCTTAAGCTACTTGGTGGGAACTTCCAAAATGTGCTCTAAGAATTCTGAATAAATCCATCTGTCCCCAAAGTGCTAAACCTCAGTAGCCACCACTTTTTTTTCTATATTAGATGAAGAGAACATGCTAATGAGTTTAGCTGGATCATAGAGGTGCAGGAAAGAAATCGGTGACAGAGGTTCTCAAATTTAAAGCTTTCACCATTACCTGCTCACCAATTCTTATAAAGCAAACACAGTTTGCAGACCTTCCACAGTCAAATTGTGGAAGATTTTATTTATTCTTTCTTTAATGTGGATAGTAGGTCTGGCTCTTATATATTTATTCTGAAAAGAAAGGCCTTTGCTGAACTTTTATGAAATACAGTACAAGTACAGTGCATATATATTAACAGTTGATTAAAGTACATACATAGAAAGTTATAATGAATCAAATGAAACAAAATTTTGAAAAAGAAATTATGCAAATTATGCAAAATGTATAGAAGAATAAATCTTGCAAATAAAATTATTACTATTACAAAAAAGAGCAAAAATATGCTCTTCAGATCCAGCTGATGTTTGTAAATAATTTGTCATTTGGTAGAGAGAAATATTTTCTGTCAAGCAAGGACAGAATCATGTTTAAAGCAACAATGGCTATGCATTAACATATTTTTCCAGACAAAAAAAATCAATTGTATTTATTTCACTTAACTTCAAAGGAAAACATATTTTAATTTGTAGGAACGTCATATGCACCTCCAAAATTATTTTCATTAAAGCCAAATACATTTTATTTCAAAAGGTCCCAATATTGTGAACCCCATCCTTTCTGATAGATTTGAAGTAGATCCATAGAAAAATATAAATTGTGCTTAGTAAAGATAATAGTGGAATATAGCATTTTAAACTCTTGAGCAAATCATTCTAAACTTTTTTAAAGGGATCAGTGTCTCAAGGGAATAATAAGTGTAAGACAGTAAGGAAAGCAGGGGAATCTCAATCTTTTAAGCTCTGACAGATTTCAGGACATTCTACCACTTGCATTACCATCTGGCCATACTGGGCTTACCTGAACAGGCAGAGGGGATCATCCTAATTCATGTGACAAAAAGGTGTAAATGCCAATTATCTTCCAGCACAGAGTACAGCATGACTTCTTTTTACCATAATTCCAATCTGACATCCAGCTATGGACAAATGTCCATGCTTGATTAAGATACTTCAGGAACCTGTCTCAGGAATCTTTTCCTTCTGTTAAAGCTGGGCTTTGGCACAAATTTTGTTGAAATAGGTTGCCCTCATATTTTTAAGAACCAAGCAAACTGTCTCTTTCTTGTTGTTCACACTTTTATATAATAAGGTTGTAGATAGCCTGTTTCCCTGAAAATAAGACCTCCCCGCATAATAGGTCCAATCAGACTTTTGAGCACATGCGCTAAAATAAGTCCACCCCAAGAATATTGCAACACAGTAGCAGCCATGAAGTGACCATGCATACTGCCTCCTGCACCTCAAAAATAATAAGACCTCCCCGAAAATAAGGCCAAGCACTTATTTCAGGGGTCAAAAGAAAATTGTCTTATTTTGGGGAAAATGTGGTGCAGTCTGGAATACCTTGTACAGTATGTCCCTTCTGCTGCAACTCTCATGACTATTGATCATGCTAGCATAGCTGATAGGAAGCATGTAAAATGTACAACTAATCAAAAGATCAAAATATTTTAAACAAAACAGACTAAAAGACAAAAGAGGGCTCATAATCACCCAAGGCCTGCGAAAACAACTGGGTCTTCAGTAGTTTCCTAAATGACATAAGGATGGGAGCCACACAAATTTCTAAGGAGAAATCATTTCAAGAAAGCAGTAACTAGAACAAAATAGGTACACTTCCTGGGTCCCACCAAGATTACATTCTTTAGTTAATAAGAACTGGAGAAGCACCTTACTGGATAGGCAGAGTCACTGGAGACAGGCAATCCTTAAGCCAGGTTTTGAATGGCCTGCAAGGTGAATAGTAAGCATCAAAAATCCCATCCAAAGTCAACTGGTTTCTAGTTCAGTTCACAAAGCAGTGGAATGATTTATGCATCATGTGCTCTCATCACTATATTCTAGACCAGATGTAAATGCTAAGTTCTAAGTGGGATATATTACAGTAATCCAATTGTGAAGTGATTAGAGTATGTGTGGCTGTCCGAAGAGCCTCCTGATCCAGGAAAGTGTACAAATGGCACACCAGATATAACCGTGCAAAGTCCTCATGGCTACAGCTGTTCTTCAAGCAGGAACTGAGGTTCAAGAAGAACCTCTTATTGTGCCCAAGTGCTGAATGTTCAACCCCACTGAAAGTCAGTGATGGAGTAGCACTAGATCTAGTATAACTATACTCTTGTGTTGTCTAATAAGTGACTGCATATCTCACTCTCAACCATAGTTGACAATGTTTGGATTTATGATTTACTTCCAGTAAAAGCAACCACAACCACCACATAATAAATTAACATGATATATGTATGATCCTAGCCAATCACTATACCCCAAAGTAAATTGGACATACTGTATGTACCATTACTTAGTGGTAACATCAATGTTTAGGAATCAGCAGGAGAACATTGAATCGCCCTGAAAATAAAATTATCTGATTAATAGCTGTTCTTCAACAAAAAGTGTGAAATGTTTGAATCCAAGCTTATTAAGAAATGTTATCACTGTAGTTCATCTCAAGATATACCGTAGATATCTTCTCACACTATAAAGTGCAAAAGTACATAGCAAAAGTGGAACATCTGCTCCTAGAAATTAGTGTTCATCTTTCATACACTGTAATTTTCTAGTCACACACATTGTGCTTTTTACACACAAGCTAAGCTGTTTACAGTTCCTCCCCATTTCCCATGAGCAGGTACATATATCAGTCAATTGCCCCAAAGGTGCTTTTTTCAAAAGGCCACTGGACTTTTCTTGCTTTTGCTTGAAGTTGTTTCGCTTCTCATCCAAGAAGCTTCTTCAGTTCTGCAAAACGTCTTCAAGCAAAAACAAAGAAAGTCCAGTGACCTTTTTAAAAAAAACACCTTTGGGATAACAATGACCAGGATGACTGAGAATTTCGATAGACATATCAGTCAGTTGAGAATAAGATGTCACGTCTGTGATGAAATCAAAAGCATACTCTGTATTAAATCTGATCTCTTTCGGGGATCCAAGAATCTCTCCTTTAGGTACTCCTATTTTGGGGGATCTTTTCTCTTTCACATCTCAGCAGCTATTTTGTACTTTGGGTTGAGGAGGGGGATCTTTATTTGCTTCTCAACAGCTGCTTCTGTTCTGATATGAAAGAATGAGAGTTGATTTGGAGCAAATAAAAACCATCGATTTCTTATTTGTTGTCTATTTGGGAGGAGTTATCTTTTAGTAACCATGGATATCTGTCAGACTGGGATTGGAACATTGGCACTTCATTTTACTGCACAGGCAAAGGGGCAGCAACTCCAGGGGATTTTGCTGAGAACTGCAGTACAAAGTGAGACCAGGTGAGGAAAGAAGGAAAGGACAGAACAGAAAAAGCTGCAGGAGGACACATCAGATCAAGCAAGACCAAGGAAAGCAGGAACCTTTTTCTGATGCCTTAGAAGGGAATTCACATCTTCCGTCAAGAGGTACTCCAAATGTTCTGTAATAGCAGCGTGGAGACCAGTTGCAGTACTGCCTGCAACATGGGTTTGACCAACAGCAGCAGTCTAGTTGTGTGTCAAGAACCTGACATTGAAAACTGGGACCACCTTCCACCCTGCAACAAGTACCTCTGCCCATTGCTGCACACATGCATTGTCATCCCAGTGACAGCTGTTTGCTTGGTCTTGCTGGTGCTGGGTGTAATTGGCAATGTCTTGACTGTGATTGTAACAAGCTGCTCCCAAGAGCTACACAACACTACCAGTTTATATCTGGGCAGTTTGGCTGTCTCTGATCTGTTGATGCTCCTCCTGGGTCTACCTATGGATCTGTACCGTTTGTGGCGCTTCCAGCCATGGGTGCTGGGTACTGTGCTGTGCCGTGTGTGGCACTGGTCAAGTGAAGCATGTGCCTACTGTTCCATTCTGCATCTGACAGCCCTGACAGCTGAGCGCTATCTGGCCATTTGCTTCCCGCTGCGGGCTAAGGTCCTGGTGACCCAACAGCGGGTAAAAGCCCTGCTGGTAGTGCTCTGGGCTGTGGCACTGCTCTCTGCTGCACCTTACCTATTCCTTATGGGAGTCCGACAGGCTGGCAACCTTTCCAGTGATGATGATTTCAGCCGTCAATGTGGCCCTACTTTGTACGCCCAACAGTCAGGGCTGTTGGAGACAATGCTCTGGGTCACCACCAGCTACTTCATTCTCCCCTTCTTCTGTCTCTACATTCTCCACAGCTTGATTGCTAGAGAACTTTTGTCTGTTGGCAAAACACATCTTGGTGTGGCTTCATACCGGAACCATCAGCAAACAGTGCGCATGTTGGGTAAGTACATGGAGGGTATCTTAAAACAGGGGAAGAAACATTATCTTAGCGCTCCAATGTCCTGTCCATCCCTTACCTTATCAAAGAAATTCCTCCAGTCCCATTATTCAGAATTAGGAAACCTTTGGATTCATAGCAGATTTCCATTGTTACGGATTTTGTAGCAGAGGTTGACAATCTAAAACCCTCCCAATCTACTATACCACTTATCAGAGCTCCAGAACTGATGGAGACCCAAAAAACCTGGTGTATAATAAGCAACTATGGAGATGCTCAGTGGAGTCCAAAAGTAGTGAGTGAGGACGATCTAGTTCCAAGTATTATCCAGGGTTATCCTACAGAATGTCTAGCTAACCCTTCTTGCGTCTAATGAGTGTAAACAAGTAATCAGGTTTGTATAGCCCAGGGAGCTGTATAGCACTCCAGTCCCAGAATTTTTTAAAAAAAAAATAAGGATGAACTCCTACTCTGAAGAAAATTTTGTTGCTCGTTCCCTCAAATGCAGACTTCTGTGGGGATGTAACACTTCCTCAGAATCTCAGAACACAGAAAGTTTAGGGCTCATGGGAATATTTTCAAAGTACAGGAGGTCCCAGAGCCAATTATTTTGAATGAGAGAGAACTCATACATTTGTCATTATTTACATATATTGAAGTTGAGCATGGGGACCAAGCAAACATGCAGGTGATACTTTTAGTCTCATAAACTGCATCTTGATCTACAGCCTGTGGCCAAAACCATTCTCATTGTTCTTCAGTACCATTCTTCTACAGACAGTTCTGGATTCAATCTCCCAGTTAGTCTCTGGGAGTGTGCTTCATGGTTATATTTCCATCTAATAGATTTTCCTCCTACGTCTCTGTAGCCCTATCTGGAAATGTGATTTATGTCCAATTGTTTATATAGCCAGAAGTCATTACAAAGTAGCCAGCAACTTTAAGTCCTTTAGCTTGTTTGCTTATTTTTTTAAATTTATTCATTTGATTTCTCTCTCTCCATCTCACCCAAGTGACTCTGGCAGCATGGAGGGATTAATCTCCCCCCTCCCCCCACACACACACTATAATCCCCAGCACCCTAAGATAAACAATAACCCCAATCATGCAGAAAAAGGACATTGACAAGAACAGAACTGATCTAAACTTCTGACTTAAATACTTGGGGAAACAGCCAGGTTTTCAACGCCCTGGCATTGAAAAGCTAATAGGGTTGGGGTTATCCAAATTTTCAGGGAGATGCTTTTCCACAAGACAGACATTGCCACTGAGAGGCCACAACTTTGAGGTGCAAAAGATAACATCGTTTGATAGAGGGGACCATGTGAGAACATGCTCTCACTGCTAGATCTGGTGGCTGAGCAGAAACCATGGGAGAAAGATGCTCCCATAAGTAGTCTAGTCCTATGCTATAGAAAGTTATATAGAAAATAACTAGCATCTTGAATCACACCAGGAAGCCTAATGGAAGGCAGTACAGCTTACAGCATAGCAGTGTAAACATAGAAGATAAAATATTAAATTAAGATAAACCCATAATAAAATCACCATAATATGGACCCACAAAATTATAATGGGATAGATGTTATAATCTGATATTTAAGGAAGCGAACCATCTAACTGCTTCTGTTATGGCTACGATGAAATCATCCCAAGTGCCTTCTCTAGATTATAAGACTGTGGTATATTATCCTCAATTGGTTTCTTATACTTAGCCTGGCGAAAGATAGAAAATCTAAATGTCAAGCTTCCAAGTAATATGTTCCTCGATTGAATAATCCAAAGCAACCGTATTCCATCAGTCTTTTTATTCGGAACATATCAAATTGGCAAAGTCTTGGTGTAATTCTGGCTGTGACCAAACCCTGGAATTACACCCAGTAAAAAGCAAAAGTTTGAAACCTCTCCCCAAAGTCACATTCACATTTTATGTATTGGAAGATCTCTAGCAGTCAATGGCATGTTTATCTTATTCCACGCTTGGACTGTCTGCTGTTGTTACCTGAGATCAACTTAGAAAGAGTTAGAAAGAACACGGAGCCATGAGAGTGGTGTGGATTTATGGGTTCCAGATATTATTCTTCCTGTGGGTGTAATGATATGCTCATATATTCTCATCACGTGGGTGTAATGAGAAATGACAAAATCTGCCTCTGGCACATGCATTTTCTAAATGTTCTTCAAGGGGACTCCTATGTACAGTTCATTACGGTGATCCAAGTGGGAGGTGACTAAAGCATGAGTCACCTGAAGCAAGACCTCTTGGTCCAATAATGGGCACAACATGAGCCTCTGCACAAGCCCTCTTGAATCCAGGAGGACCTTCAAATCACACACCATCTTTGACTATATTCCCACACAGAGCTAAAGATGAAAAATCTATGGAATCAAGGACCCCAAAATACCTTGCCAGGGTTCAGTTGAAGCCTCTTCTCCCCCATCCATTACCCAAATTCACATATTTTCTTTATATTAGCCAGACTGAACAATAAAGAGTCAATGGTATGTTAATTTTATCAAGGCACTTATTGTTGAATGCCTCAAATAATTTCTATTCAGATGAAAAGCTATTGTTTTCTGACTTACCTTATCTATATTTCAAAGTAAGTGTGAGTATCAATCCACTCCAAAAGCTCCTAATCATGCCTTAGGCTTAACTGCACCAAGTCAACAGGTCATCTTATTTCCTTCTTTTCTACCCACTTGCAGTTATCCTGGTTCTGGCATTCCTCATTTGCTGGTTGCCCTTCCATGTTGGCCGGATCATGTACATCAACGCAAAGAATTTCAAGATGATGCTCTTCACTCAGTATTTTAATGTTTTTGCATTGCAGCTTTTCTACTTGAGTGCTGCTATCAACCCAATCCTTTACAATCTTGTCTCAAAGAAATACAGGGCAGCATTGTTCAAGTTGCTGGTAACCAAAAAGCAACCAGAACGGGCTTCAACTATTACGAGAGAGACAGCTGGCTACCTAGAGATTACTGGATAATTTAAAAAGCAGATGATTCCTAGGACCCTTTCTCTCCCTGCTTTCACTGATTGCTTTTTGGCAGATGTGTGAAATGAAGGGCAGATCATAGTTAATGCTTCCAGGCATAGCTCTTTGAAATGTAAATACTGGGCTCATGTTGGTGAAACCAAATTATTACTATTTAGACAAGCAGAGAAAGATATTCTCTCCTTACTGTGTATAGTATAATTACCACCTGGTCTTTCCCGCAAACTAATGCTTGTAAACCAGTATTAGAAGCCAGACACTGATTTTGATTGGTAAGCAAGGACTTTCCTACAGTATAGTTTGATAGCTCTGAAAAAATGGCAGCTTGAGTTTAGCCAACAGTGAAGAAAGCAGGCTTGGGATCATTTAAAAGCTCTATTAGCTTAGCAACACTATGGGATAGCCCATCATTTGACATACCCTGTTTCCCCAAAAATAAGACCTCCTGGGATAATAAGCCCAATTGGGCTTTTGAGCGCATGTGCTAAAATAAGTCCTCCCCCGAAAATAAGACCTCCCTAAAAATATTGCAACTAGCCGCCTCCTGCACCTCAAAAATAGTAAGACCGTCCCAAAAGTAAGGCCAAGTGCTTATTTCGGGGATCAAAAGAAAATAAGACCCTGTCTTATTTTTGGAAAAACACAGTATGAGATACAAAAGATCCAATTTTCAATTCTCTACCACAGTTCTAGCAAAATAATTTTAAAAGATTCACCTCTGGAGGGTTACTGGACTGCAGCTGGGACTAGAGATCTATGAGCTGGGAAAAAAACCTGATTGTAAAAGTAGCAGCCTACATTTTTGTTTAACAGCTATAGCATGTCATCACAGTGGCATAATGTGACATATTCTGTCTTTCCCCCCCTTTGTTAAACCGGGCATGGCTTTGGGCAGCACATGACGCATCCAGCCCATGGAGTTTGACCTATAGTATGTTTATAAATTAGACTAGGCAGTACTGTAATGCTTTTGGTTTATCTATTTTGCCAGTGTCAGAATGATTCAGTACTTTGTAGCTGGGTTTTCAATTTGCCACAGCTCAAAAGACAAGACCCAGTTAGCTGGACTAGATAGACTAACAAAAACAATAAAACAAATATGGAATGGAAGATAGGGATTAAAATTAAATCAGACTATTTTGGTTTAGTTCTCCATTTGCTTCCCTAACATCAGCACCAACCAGCTGATATAATTTTAATTGTAATTCTGTCTGACTAGGGGAATTATAAGAAAACCTGGTGGAATTGCCTGTAGTAGTAGTAGTAGTAGCTCTACATCAATAGGGAAAAAATTGAACATGCACGTTAAATTGTTTTTCTATTCTCTTTGTTGAGAGTTTAATTGCAAATGGGAATTCATGCATGTAATACTACAAAACACGTTGGTGATTCTTGGTTTAAATGCATGATTAAAAGTTATTCAGCAATCCTGATCTCAAAATATTATTGTTGTTGTTGTTGTTGTTGTTGTTGTTATCCTCCGACGTTACCTTAACTGTTCCTAGGTCCTTGGTTAGGACTCGAGCTGTTGAGCTACCAACCAGCCCCAAAGGCTGTGAATCTCACCAAAGATTAACCAAATAAATAAATAAATAAATAAATAAATAAATAAATAAATAAATAAATAAATAAATAAATAAATAA